TTTTTTTTTTTTTTTGGTGAGGCAATTGGGGTTAAGTGACTTGCCCAGAATCACATAGCTAATTTTCTGAGGCCAGATTTGAACTCAGGTCCTCCTTAGTCCAGGGCCAGCGCTCTATCCACTTTGCCACCTAGCTGCCCCCTGTACTTCTTTTGAAAAACTCATTTAAGATTAGCTATTATTAACCCCTACCAGAATTTTTTCAAACTATTAGTCTCAAACGCAATGGAAGACGGTTTCCTTATTCCTATACTAACTATGCTGTGTTTTTAATGCAGTTTTCAAATTTCCCTCCTATTATCAATACTAATTTCATCTGGCTCTCTTGTCTATGCCTAGTGTACTAATTCCAATTAGGGGAGCTTATGCTCTAAGTGCCTATTTACTAAATCTAATGGCTTTTCCTCAGGTTGACTACTTGACCTCTGTCACTGTGGATCACAAAGTCCTCTTGGATGCTCTCTTCTGGTCTCTCTGCTCTTGCTCTTCTTTGCCAGCTTCCCTTCTGTCAACTAAATGTGGGTTTCCTTCAGAGCTCTGCCCTTGGCCATGTTCTTTCTATCTCAAAGCAAACATGTCCAAAATAGAATGATGTACACACATATACTGTGTGTGTGTGTGTGTATTACACACACATAAAAAAATGCATATATATATAAAAATATATATAAAAGGTACATATATAAGGTAATTTGGGGGGCAGTTGGTGGCACTAGAAGCTGTACGCCATCAGGAAAGGCCTCGTAGAGAGGAGAGTACTTGAACAGTGCTTTGAAGGAAGCTAGGGATTCTGAGGGAAGGCATTCAAGGCATATGGAACAGCCTGAGCAAAGGCACCAAGGCAGGAAATGGACCATAGCATATGACAAAAGGCAAGTAGACCAGTCTGGCTAGAACACAGCGCATAGGAGGGAGATAACATTATAGTGTGCAAAGAAAAGATGGAGCCAGATTGTGAAGGACTTTAAATGGCAGTCAGAAACAATATGGAGCCACTGAAACTTCTTGAGCAGCAGACTAACAGAGTAAGATCTGTATTTTAGGAATATCAATTCGGCAGTTACGTGGCAGATGGAGAGATCAGAGATAAAAGACTAACTAGGGGCAACTAGGTGGCTCAGTGGATAGAGTACCAACCCTGAAGTCAGGAGGACCTGAGTTCAAATTTGGCCTCAGATCAAACACTTGACACTTACTAGCTATGTGACCCTGGGCAAGTCACTTAACCCCAATTGCCTTAAAAAAAAAAAAGACTAATTAATTAGATGGCTATAGCCCACATGAAAGGTGATGTGGGCCTGAAATTAGGGTAGCTGTGAGAGATGTTATAGAAGTAGAATTGATAAGACTTGAAAATGAGGGAAAGTTAGGAGTTGAGAATGACTCAGTGGTCAAAAATTTAGGTGATGGGAAGGACAGTAGTATCCTTGAGAGAAACTGGAAGGCAAAATAATGAGTTCAGTTTTGAACATGTTGAATTTGAGATGCCTAAGGGATATCCAGTTGGAAATGTCTAACAGACAGCTGGTGATGTGGGTTGGAGCTCAGAAGAAAAACTAGGGATGTATATACAGATCTGTGAGACAGTTGCATGGAGACAACTGAATCCACTGAAAAGCTGATGAGAATACTAAAAGTATATCTAGAGGGTCCAGGATACATTCTATTAGAGGGTAGGATATGGATGATGATACAGCAAAACAGATGAAGTTGACAGATAGTTAGGAGACCAAATAGAGAAAGAGCACTGTCATGAAAACCAAGAGGAGAGGATGGTCTGTCAAAAAGGATGAGGACTGAGAAAAGGCCACTAGATTTGGCAATTAAGAGATCACCGGTAACTTTGTAGAGGACACAATCAATTGAGTAATGAGGTAGGAAGCTACACTGCAAAGGGGTTAAAAAGTGGGGAAAAAAAAGGTAATGAGTAGAGTTTTTTCCAGGAATTTGGCTGTGGAAGAGAAAATGTACATATAAAATAATAGTGTTAAGGGATTCTACCTCTATTTCTCTCATTTAACATAACCACTACTTAGTGCAGACCTTGACTACTTGAAGAACCTAACTGGTCCAGTTTTTCCTTTTTCTAATTATCCTCCAACAGTTGCCAAATTGATATGCCAGAAACACAGCTCTGAACATGTTACACCCAACCCCCCAATAAAACATTTGAATGGCTCCCTAATGACCTTTAGCATAAAATATAGAATCCTCAACTTGACATTTAAGGATCCCCACAATCTGGTTTAAGATATTTCCAGTCACACTATTTTTCTTCATGGTTTCTCTTTTCCATTTAAACTGGTCCTAAAGCTATTTCTCTTACACAGCATGCCCCCTCTTACCACTATTACTTTACATAAGAGATCACACAGTTCAGGTACTACCTCCTATTCCAGACCTTTACTGATCTCTCCTCTCCCTTAATTCCTTTTCCCTCTTGAAATTACTTTGCTAATCATCTCTAGACCTATTTGGGCTAAGATAAAATTTAGGATATATACTTTGTACTTAACTGTGTTCCTGTTTCTCCTTGGTAGAATGTAAACTCCAAGGGTGGCTTTTTTTTTTTTTTGGGTCTTTGTGTCCTTGGACTATTGTACAGTGGCACTTGCTGAATTGGAATGGGGAGTGAGGGGGGAAGGTCAGTACAGAAAGATAAATCTTTGCAACAACTTGGAGAACAGTCGGCCTTATTTTCCTTGAAAACTATATTGCAATAGCAGCTCTTTTTTTTTTCCCCAGCCAACGACAAGGTGTATTACAAGATCCGTCATATTGGGCAGACTCTTAAGGACTCTGAACATTAGTGAGCTATTGGCTAGTTTTTAAGAATCTGAGCACCTTAATGGAGACAAGATGGACGTTATATACAAAAAGACTGTGGGAGAAATCCTGGATGGCCAAGTAGGGAGGTGGAGGATAGGATGAAACTGTAGGGTAATAGAATGCCAGGGACCTGAAAAACAGAGCCTAGCTAGGATTATGAGTGGGAAGTGGCAGGTGGAGTAGGGAGGTAAGACAATGGAGGGCTAGACTAGATTAAGGGTAACAGAGAATTGGGAGATTGGGAATAGCCACAAGGAAAGGCCAGTTAATAGGATTATAGCCTCAGGCTAATGCCAGAGATTTGGCCTTGTAGGAAAGTCCAGGGCTTTTCCTTTTTGGGGTGTAGATCCCAACCTCATCATTCTCCCCTCAAACAAATGGGACCCAAATTCTTTTGGGGTAAGGGGTGAAGGTCTCAGTTTCTGAAACTGCTTCCAATAGTTGTTCTTTTTGTGGTGGCAAAGAATTGCAAATTGAAGGGATGCCCATCCATTGGGGAATGGCCAAACAAGTTGTGGTTTATGAATGTAATGGAATAAAATTATTCCATAAGAAAAAATGAGCACGAGGACTTCAGAAAAACCTGGGAAGACCTGTATGGACTGATGCTGAGTGAAGTGAGCAGAACCAGGAGACTGTTGTACACAGTAACAGCCATGTTGTGCGATAGACTTAACCCTTCTTGGCAATGCAAGGATCTAAGACATCTCCAAAAGTCTCACCATGTAAAAAGTTATCCACATCCAAAGAAAGAACTATGAGTTTGAATGCTGATTGAAGCACACTATTTGCTTTTTTGTTTTGTTTTGTTTCCTCTTTCTTGCAGTTCATCCTATTGGTTCTAATTCTTCCTTACAACATGACTAATGTGAAAATATGTTTAACAGGAATGTATATGTAGAGCCTATATCAGATTGCCTGCCGTCTTGGGGAGAGAGGTGAGGGGAATGGGGGAGAAAAATTTAAAACTCAAAAGCTTATGGAAGTGATTGATGACAAATCAAAATAAATTAATAAAATTAAAAAAACTGTCCTCACTCAAAAAAAAAAGAAAACTATTATTGCAAGCCTTGTTTCAGTCATTTACTTGTGTCTCCTCACTACTGGACCAAATTTCTTAAGCTTAGGGACTACTCATACCCCCAGTGCCTAGCACACACCTCGCTATTTCTCCTGAGTTTCTTGTTTTATCAGTGAGGCCAATCTTTCCACGTGGGCAGATCATAATCCCATCCAACTGAAGTTTAGTAAAGGGTCTTCCTGAGTTGCCATGGCCTGAACGATTCACTACCTGGTGACAAAGCCTCGCAAATGATAGGGACTTAACAAATTTGTTAAATTCGGTGGGAATCACCTCTGTGGAGAGTACTCAGAGGTCGGAAGGCGGTCTCGGAGCCACTGAGTGACCTCCATTGCCTTCTTCAGATAAAAGGGCAGAAACGAGAGCCTGCGTGACTCCGGAATGCCTAAACCCCCAGGCTGCCTGTGGTCAGAGGGATTCCTCTGCCGCTCCTGGCTACGGCTTAGAGTCGCGTCCCGGCCTCGGCCCATGCCCTACCCGAGCCCGAGGGACTACGCGGACCGACGAGAGAGGGGGGACTGGACCGGCGGCCACTCACTGTCAATGTCCTCGATGAGGCTGGCGGTACCCGGCATATAGTTCATCTTGAACCGGGAAGGGGAGGCTGGGCTGCGGAGCGGTGGGGGGGGAAGGGGCGGACCTGCCGCGTCCTGCTTCTCCCGCCGCTGCAGCCTCCTCGGCGTGGCCGGTACCCGCAGGTCCACAGCCGCTACTAGGCGCGCAGTGGCTACCGGAAGTTCCTCTTTACCCCGCCCACTTCCAGCATCACGTGGCTCGCATTCTCGGGACGCGTAGTACGGCCCAGGCCCCCGAGAAGAAGGGGAAGAGATATAACCTGGACCGCACTAGGTAGTGGGGAACGCGCCTTTTTTCTCTTTAGGCTGAGGAAGAATATGCGCATTCCCCTTCTCTGTTACAGCATCTCAATTCACGAAGGTTGGCCCAAACTAGCATAGACCCACGAGCCCTCCCTTCCGTCTCATTGGTCCGCGTGTAGACCACGAGCTCTACTCCCGCGGGGGAGGGGCCACACCGGCGATTGGCTGCTCTTGCTCCGCCCCCTTTTCCCAGGCTTGTTCCTCGCCTTCAGTGGGCGCCTGCGCAGTGGGCTTGGGGTGGGGGGGGGAGCGGGAAGTGCGGCTGGTGAGCGGAGCCAATGTCTACCCTGAGGAGATCGGGTTATGGCCCCAGCGACGGCCCGGGCTACAACCGCTACTACGGGGCTGGGCCCGGACCCGGACCCAGCATTGGAGACGTGCCACCGCCTGGGCCTCCCGCCTCATCGCGGCCCGAGCCGCCTCCCCTTCCGCCTCCTGGGCCCTGGAGGATGCGCGGAGGCGGCCCGGCGGAGGCTGTGTGGCCCGGAGAAGGCAGCGGCGCCTGCGGAGCTTGCGGAGGCGGCGGGGGCTACTACTCCGCTGGAGCCGCCTGGCCAGACCCGTGCCGGGCTGGAGGCCACCAGGTAATCCTCGGTCCGGTCAGCCCCTGGGGTCACCGGGGTCCTCCGTGCGCGGAGAGGGTTGGTGTGGAAGGGACCCCAGGGGTGGTCCCTAGGGAGGTGAGGCCCGGGGGTTGCGTCGCGGAGCCGGAGGACGCCGTGGTGAGGCACTGTTTGAGGGCTTCTAACGGATCCTAGCTTCATTAGTCCCTTATTTCTGGAGGGTGGGAGGAAGGACAAGGTTTGTGGCCTGGGTGATGATGTCTCACCGAGCAGGGATTGGGGGAAAAGCAAGCTTAAAAAAATCATAAATTGTTCATTGCAACCTTCCACCCTGCACAAATTCTCAGGCTAACAGTGAGGTTGCTCAGGGGAGGCATCCAAAGCCAGTGGGGGGGGGGTCTGGAATAGACCCCAGGCTGTGCCCACAGAGGTGGTAGAATTTGCTCCCCACTACTAGGCATAGGCCCTTTCCTTCTTTCCCCCTGCCCCTCCCCCGAAGGCGGTGACGACTGTGGTGCTAGCTTTCACTCAGCAGCCCCTCCTGTGTTTTGAGACCTTCTGTGGTGGGATCTAGGTCGTTTAACATGTCAACCTGCCGTTCGTATATATAGATAGATATATATCTATATATCTATCTATATATATTTTTTACTACTCACCTCCTAATCTCAAAGCGTGTATGTTGGTTTGCTTGTGCGTGTCTCTGAGGATCATTACTGCAGCATCTCTGTTCACTTCCCATCCATCTGCTCATCTTTGCTACCTCCTGGTTAGACATTTTATTTAAGCCCATCTGCCTTTTAGGTCGATAAAGGTCCTATATATTTGTTTGGCTGGGTCTAGGAATAGCCTAGTGGGGGAAAATGGGACAGCTTTGATTGATTGTTTAAAGGATTCATCTCTTACAACTGTGATTTCATCAGTAGAAATTGTGTGTGTGTGTGTGTGTGTGTGTATGTGTGTGTGTTCTGTGGGGTTAGAGCATGGTCAGAGAATTTGGTCTTGACTTACTCTTTCAAGGTAGGATTTAGGAATTGGAAAATTATGTTCTCAGGTACTGGTATAGTTTAGTGGTTTGCACCTTACACGTAGGAGGTGGCCTGTTAAATTCTTGTTAAATGATTGCTTAGGTTCTGGAAAAGTGGAAGACAAGGGGACATGTTCAAATAAGAGTAGGCCTGGAGGAACCATCCTTATTACACAGCATTTTGACTGATTGAGTCACCCATGCATTCTTCAGACTTGATGTGACCAGCAGGTGGAACCTCCATCTAGGCTTTGGATTTTATGTCAGTACTCCTAGAGCTGGGCTAAAATCAGTATCACTTAGGGGAAAATGTAGAATTCTACCATCTTTCACCAGGTTGACTCTGATATTTCTTTCTTTAATAGATAACTTTTTATTTCAAAGTATCTGTAATCCCATTGATTTGGGAATCCCCTCATTGGTACAAATGGCAACCCATCCATGTTTTGTTATCCTATGCAATTCTTTTCCATTTTCTTCCATAGATCCTACTAGAGGATTCACCCATTTTGCTGGAAGCCTTCTTGTAGGTTTCCATTACATTTTTTGTATATTGGCTGAATGGTAAAGTTGTCCATCTGTTGACACTTCTTGCACACAGTCCATCATTGGAAATATGCATGAGTACAACCCAAGAAACTGGTATGTCGAAAGGATTGACAAATGGCACAGAACTTCTATATGGGTATTTGTTGTTGATAATCAAACAGGTTGAAGGACTAAAAGAAGAGATAGTTAATTGACCCCCGATACTGGGCTTGGGAGTGAACATTTTATTATGGATTTCTTTCCACATAGATTGATTTTGTTTTTAAACTTACTGACTGAAACTGAAAGCAATGTAAAAACATTTAAAATGTAATATTGTTGACTGAACATCAGATAGAGGTAAAAATCAATCAATGATAAAGCATTTATTAAGTGCCAACTATATACCAGAAAATAACGTGTGAGGCGCTGAGGACATAAAGACAAAAATGAAACTGTCCCTGCCCTCACTGAGCTTACATTATTTTACCTTATTT